TTGTTTTTTTTTTGTTTAGGTAGTTCGTTTCCCAAGTTCTGAAAATCAGCAGTTAAGTAACTGAAACTGCTCACAAAAATGGCAATGAATTCAGAAAGTAATGTGATTATATGATTATACCTTTGCTATTTCTTCAAAGTTCATCATCGAGCTAATCATATAATATATGGAAAATCTCAAATATATATTTCCAGGAAATGTGAATAAAAGTAACAATTATGCATTTCATAACTGAAAATTGATCAAAAACTATATTTTAGGATAAAACGATAAAGTATCCTGGCATTCGAAATGAATAAAATGCTCGTTTTAATACTTATATGTATTTCAGTGGTATTTTAGTTCTTCTGTTAACTTCAATTCTCGTCTTACACATAGTGTAAAAACTAAAAAGCATATGATAGTATTGCAAGTTATAGAAGGTCATTTCCAATTTCTTTGCAAGCATTTAAGTTTGGGTATTTAAGGCAAGATTAAATTAAATTCAATTTTTCTAAAAAAAAAAAAAAATTAATTTTTGGGTAATTTTATGGGGGTACAAATCTCTGCTTTTTACGAGACCGTTTCTAAGACTTCAAAGAACCTTCAATCATTTTACATGCAAGACGCTTTAAATGAAAATTGTTGCACGAAAAAAACCCATTTTCCAGCTTCATTTAGAGATTTATTTAATTAAATAATAATTTGAAGAGTTATTGTTCATGGCCGAGGAGCGGATATCATTAAATACCTTTTTGAACAAACATAACACACTGAAAATTATTTTTGAGATATTCAAAAAAGTAAAAAAAAAAAAAAAAAAAAAAAAAAAAAAAAAAAAAAAAATTACATTTCTTTGACCATCTGCTCCATGCAGAAATTATGTACCGTATAAGAGCTGTGATTAAAACCAGAAATTCTATGAATATCAACTCTGAAAGCACATGCATCTTGCCATATGCGAAATTTATTGTTTCCGTTTTGTCAACATCGGTGATAATGTTGCTTATATGAACCGGAAATAATTGACACGAGGCTATTGGTGAACTCATTCTTGAGACTCACCGTAAAATGTCCATCACGGAGTCTGAGAGCAATTAACCCTTGGTAGACGTCGGGTGGAAGGTCGCACAACAGAATAGAAACACATCTCGTGGGATTATTTATGCAAATTCGATTGATGGCCTCAACGGGAACAAGATCATGTTAATATAGATGCATCCAATAAATGGAAATGCGGCTCTAATGACATGAAAATTTGGGACAAAGTCATTACCACAGTCTAAGCGAAGAATAAGTAAATCGATCATTATATCTCTAGGATTTATTTTAATATCGTCTTACAGGGGACCCAGATTACACACAAATCCAACAGAACTAATTTTGTTGCTTAGTTAGACTTTTATAGAATTTAAAAGAAGATTATTATCTATTTATTTATTTAAAAATAAGGATTTTTGTAGCGTTATACACAGACCACATCCAATTTTCCTCAGATCATGCATATAGTAGTAATCTCTGGTACCTGTAATTCACTTAGGCGTCGGAAGCAAATTAAAAGTGGGGTGGCTAATTGAAAGTGGGGGGAAAAAACGTAAGCCCCAATTTTCAATGCCTATATTATGTATATCTTTGCCAAAAAATGGGGGGGGGGCTAAGCCCCCCCCCCCCCCCGGTTCCGACGCCTATGGTTCAAGAGTGGCCATCTAACTTGTCTGTTTTAGAAACATTGCAAAATTAATTTCTGTCGCTTAGAAAGCATTCCCTCGTTTGCAAAATTAATTTCTGTCGCTTAGAAAGCATTCCCTCGTGTGTTAGTTGTAGATTATAGTAATAAAGATTTCTCTGACACTATTTTTGGGAAAAAAGACCAAAAAACTTGACAGTGAAATAAGTATCCAGGAATAGCTATCCAGAATCTAAAGCGAGGGAAGTCGCATGGATTAAATTCTACATTAAATGAGTATTTCATAGAGTTCAAAGATTTAGTATTTTTATTAATGTTGTATCTTTAATTTATCTTCTGTTTTTTAAATCTTGTTGATAAAAACTGTTATAGTTCCTGTTAAAAAAAATATCAGAAGACCCCAATAATTACAGAAGAATAAGTTTGATAAGCAGTTTCAATAAGTTGTTTGCATCAATTTTAAATAGAAGGCTCTTAAGGTGGTCATCTACCAATTATATAGTAACATATGCTCAATTCTTTTTTCAACCTAATCTATCAACAGCTGATGCAATTTTGTATTGAGTTGTTTGATTAACAAGGTACTTCGTCATCGATAACGACAATATTGCTGTTTTCCAAACTACAAGAAAACTTTTGATTCCATAGTTAGGGAAAAATTAATTATTATGGGTTAAAATTGCATTACTATGGTATACGGGGAAAAACTATTAGGCGTCATCCAATCTATATATTTTAATATAAAGACGTTTGTAAAATCTGCAGGCAATATAAATGTATCAAATTTCTTTTAATCTTACTACATTGGATTACTCCAGAGGGAGATTTTATCCCCTTAGCTTTTTGTCCTATGTGTATATGTAAATGACCTGGATAGCAAATTTATTTTTAAAAAAAACGGTAACTCAGAAATTGAGCTCGAGATGTTGGATCTTTTAATTTCTTACTCATTTATGCAGATGATATGTTTTTATTTGCTGAAACTCCTGAAAATTTACAAAGTACATGCATATTATCAACTTTACAGAAATATTTAGAGCGGGGGGGGGGGGGTTAGAAGTAAATGTCTCCAGAACAAAAATCGTAGTATTTAGAAATGGTGGGAAAGTTAGCAACAATAAATTGTATTTTAATAATGAACCTACAGAGGTTGTAGATATTGTCTGTTATATGTAGGAGTCTTGTTAAACATTAATGGTAAATTTTTAACTTCTAAGAGACAATTATCTGTGCAAGAACGACAAGCAATGTTTCCCCTTAAATCCTCCATGAAAGAATTATACTTGAAGACTTGTAAATCTCTTTGCGGTATTTGACACGTATGTTTGTAGCATTTTAAACTATGGCTGTGAAATTTGGTGCGCATTAAGAACATGATGTGGAAAAAGTGGATGTAATTTATATAACGAATGTGAAAGTGAAAAATTTAAAGGGCAGAAATGGGCAAAGTATATAAAAGACAGTTTAAATATGTAACACCCCCCCCCCCCCCCCGGTCCCTCTGATACTACGTGCCTGATTGAAATGTTGACAACACCTTCAGTATCATATAAGTATATTAACGAAAAATAATTTTGACTAAAAATATTAGATATATCTGATATTATTATTAAATTCATTGAGTGAATTATAAACGTAACAGCTGTATTATATTGTAACTGAATTAAGGATGGTACAATATACAGGGTAGAACCGGATAGAAATACAGTGTATGTAAAGCATTCTTAAAAGCTAAAGAACCACGTGCAATGATTAAAGATGCGCATTTGAATTCTGTTCTCTTCTTTATCAAAGCATTTCATCTCCCTGCAAAATATTACACCATTGATGCGAGCCTTAGGATCATAACGATTAGGAAATTAAGCTTTTCGTTTAATCAGTTCCCGAAATAATTATCTGTAATTGACACCATCAATTGTCATACTAGTATCCTAACTCGTCATGTGCATCGAGTCCGATACCGTCACTGCTGCAGTGGCCAAAGGCAAAAAATGTATAACACTAAAAATTCCGAAAATATACATCACGTTAAATTGATATGAAGAACATGAGTTTGAGTTGAAGCCGGTCAATATGAAATTACACTTGGGCTTTTTTATCAATTAAATTAACTTCGATATTGAAGTTTTGTCATTACGTAATATTAGGAACAACTAATATTACTAGACTGCGAATGCGCACACGTGCGGCAGTATAATGTTCAATCCATTCAATATGTTCACTATATATTCAGTTTCTATACTTGCAGTTTCTGCACTTCACCGAGTATGTATAAGTAGTGTTAATTCATACATGATCATTTAAAAAAAATCAATTCATTAATTTACTTATTAAGGGCTATCAAAGGGCAACAAGGAATTTCAGTATATATATACTCATATATACTCGTATACATGCATTTACATGCAATACACTGTATTTATAACTTACAAACAAGAGAGAAGGAGTTGCATGATTGAAATGTGTACAGATATTTTTTTTTTCTCTCTCTCTCTATATATATGTCTGAAAGGGTTTTGATATGAAATCTATATGAATTTGCGTTCTGATGACCTTGTATATTATTCTTTTTGCTTATTTCATATTCTTTTATTCCGGTGAAAGTAACATCATTACCGCTACGTTTTCAAAATTTTCATTACCGCTACATGCACATTACCGCTACAAAGAAGGATACATTACCGCTACATTGTCTCTTTCATTGTCTCTTTCGTTAGCCAGCGTCTTATGCGTGTACAGTACAACATATATATACTGCACATGCATAAGACATGTTTTTCTCCATCTCCACACTTTGTAGTGTTTAAAAGTCTTATTTATACGAAATTTATATCCATTGATAACTAATCCTGCATTACCAAGTTGTACTTCTCTACATGGTAAGTGAATTATATTGAATGGAACTCTTATCCCGTGCCATTGCTGGCCGATTCGGTTTGTAGCGGTAATGAGTTGTCGGCATTAGTCCCTTTGATAAAATGTAGCGGTAATGATCGCCCGAAAATTTGAGAAAATGTAGCGGTAATGAGTTGAAATTTTTCGCAATGTAGCGGTAATGTTGACCTCCCACAAAATCAACATGAAAGATCATTCATGTCTTGAAAGGGGGAGGGGAGTACTAATATACAAAGAGCGATAACTCTATCTTAAAATTACATGCAGACTTTCAAACTGTAAAATCAATAATCGAATTATCTCCCGTTCTCTCAGGTAAAAACTGTTTATAAATAGAAGCACCGCCCATCTCAGGTGAGAGAACTTGTAGAACCAGTTTTATTGAATGGAATACACGTTCTATTAATAGTAACCGGGATAACACCATTGAATGTAAATATCTAAACACGTTTGGTAAGGGTAGGGCTAACCAGTAAACGGATTGCTTCATGGTCCATCAGCACCTGGAATTGAGGAGGATAGGAAATAAATAGGAGTATTGCGGAGGTCTAGAAGAATACAGGACGTCTGTCACCATGCGGTAAGAATTAATGAATTCTTGTACTTTTATTTAATTCCACTTTGCCGGGTGGGACCGAACGAAATGCTACTTTGGTTATATATATATACGACTACCTCTGTTATGTACGATTATCAAGGCACTTAATATTCCATTATAATGCAAAAAATTCAATATTGGACACGGTGAAAGGTGCATTTCCCCCGGTTTTCTTTTATAAAATAATTGAATACGATAGTACCACAGACAATGAAGTGTAAATTATGTCATTTTTGTGTATGTAATTACATGTATATAATCACAGTAACGCAAATTCTGTAATGTATTTATCTTATTATGTCAGTGTTGTATAAATCCTTTGTAATAGAGAAAGAAAAATCATCATGCTTAGAGGACTATACAGTTCATATATTCAAAACATGTTTCTTACAAGTTTTAGGGCTTACCCCCCCCCCCCCCCCCGATCTTCTGCTTCAGAATAATCCTTTCCAATAGAATAATTATAAATATCTTAAATTCAGGTCTATACTAACAAAATAATACATACTACATATATACCGCTCATACATACGAAAGCCGGATAGGCTCATTTTTGACAAAACAAAAAAAATATTTAACTCGTTATAACGAGATAATTATCTCGTAATAACGAGTTAGTATCTCGTTATAACGACTTAGTATCTCGTTATAACGAGTTAGTATCTCGTTATAACGAGTTAGTTATCTCGTTATAACGAGTTAGTTATCTTGTTATAACGAGATAATTATCTTGTTATAACGAGTTAGTTATCTCGTTATAACGAGTTAGTATCTCGTTATAACTAGTTAGTTATCTCGTTATAACGAGTTAGTTATCTCGTTATAACGAGATAATTATCTCGTTATAACGAGATAGTTATCTCGTTATAACGAGTTAGTTATCTCGTTATAACGAGTTAGTATCTCGTTATAACGAGTTAGTTATCTCGTTATAACGAGTTAGTATCTCGTTATAACGAGTTAGTTATCTCGTTATAACGAGATAATCATCTCGTTATAACGAGTTAGTTATCTCGTTATAGCGAGTTAGTATCTCGTTATAACGAGTTAGTTATCTCGTTATAACGAGTTAGTTATCTCGTTATAACGAGTTAGTTATCTCGTTATAACGAGATAATTATCTCGTTATAACGAGATAATTATCTCGTTATAACGAGATAAAAATTGATCTAAAAGTTGATATATCTAAGTAAAGAATATACATGTACTATTATTTATAGGAAATAAACAGAAGCCAGTCGATCAAATTTGTTTGAAGTGTGCCTGATATAGATTTTATGGAATAACAGTATACTAGTTTTTGTGTTATGCTTTTGATTAATATTGTTCATTGAAAAGACCGAAGACAAATATACGGAAACTTATGACCGCCTCATGTTGTTGTGTTATACCTTAAAATTGCAAAATAGAATTAGTGTCATCTTCAAATGGAATGGATATAACGTCAAAATGTTGTCAACTTGTACAAGGAGATCAGAAAAAAATGATATATTCTGGCTGATTTAACTGGCCTGTTCAAGCTTTCTTGACTATGTTAAAATTATGATAATTTTTGCGTAATATTTGTCGCAATAAAAAATGCATAGAAATAATCCCATTATTTTATATATTCCGAATTACTAATGTCGATATGATACCATTTGTTAGGCTTTAACGTCCATATTTTGAAAATTCCTTGCCTGTTAACAATTAAGAAATAACAGTTCATTTTTATCGTCTTAAAGGGGCAGGGCAAGATCAAAATTCAATGTCTGACAAAAAATAAATTCACGTTGTTTTTATCATCAATCCCTCCTTCCCCGCAATAAATATGATGAATTTCAAGAACTAATACTGTACTTATCACTTAATAATTTATATATTTCTTTTGTTTATTAAAAGAAAGAAACATTTTAATTTACCAATTTGGCATGAAATCTCATGTACAATATGCATTTTAAGCGTTATTATGAATGTGATAGAATAAAAAACTTTTGGGGCTCTTTATTCTACGGAAGCCACAATAAAAAGATGAAGGTCACCAGGCTGAAATGTAGTGCATGTAGGAAAATCACATGCCTCACTTTGACAATAGTAAAAACAGTTGACATGTTTGTGATAGAATGAAAATTTAATATCTAAAGTTTACAATATGATACGCATTAATTAAGGTGTATTTCAAGCATAAATTATGCCTAGAAATATGTATTGTATCGTGAGACAGGATTTTTGATATTTTCACTCGTGAAAATATAAAAAAAATCCTGTCCCACTCTTGAAATAAATTCCATATCAACTACAAAACATTGAATATCCTCTATTTATAACCCCACCCCCACCCCCACCCCCAAAAAATCATCAATCTCTTTTTGAAATAAAAATTATATGCTTGCATGCAAAGTATACATAATAAATATTGTGATATTGTGATGAGGAAAATAATTAACGACATTGCTTCAATGTTTTATTAATAATATTTCCATTTCTATTTGTTTTCTCTGTGATAACTCTTTGAGAGTTAGGAGAGTTGATTTCTTGATCATTCTAACGGAATGCAAATTTTGCCAAGCGAAAGGTCAGTAGCTAAGAAGGCATAATATGCATGTACGTGCGGCTGTCTTTGTGTCAGACTCTTAAGGAGGCCTAATGTGCATGTAATTCTCGTGCCGCTGTCTTTGTGTTTGACGTCAGTGGGCGGGGACTATTGAAATTGACATGTGAGGCCTCGTGTAATTTAAATCTATTAGTCTACATTTTTAAAATCAAAATTTACAATTTTATTTCAAAATGAAATGGAAATATAAGGAATCACTGTCTAGTTAGTAGAGTATGCCAGGGACATGAACGATAGTTGGAAACGTGGGATAATTTATGCATAACGGGCTTGTAATACATGTATAGTATTAGTCCTATTCGTTGATCAATCCTAATTAAAAAGGTTATAAAAGTGAACTGGCTTTGTAAACTCTGTAAACTTTTTTTTGTGTGTTGTAAACTCTGGTTTGATGTTTTGTCACCATGTGGTAAACTTAGGATCCGCCAAATAGACGTGAATCTGCACAGCTTGGACCCCCCCCCCCCCAGCAAAAAATATAAACAGTGAATCATGACAGAATATTAAATAAAATGTCAATATCAGCAGATCAAAGCTAACGTCTTATTACTTAGAAGGACGTAATATCATTTTTGCTTCATCATTCCTCATCATCGTGGACAATCTGCATAAGCTTAGTCACAAAGTTCGGGGGGGGGGGTTAAACCAAGTAAAATATTTGACAAGCAAATAGAAAAAAAAGAGATTTGATATTCCAACTACGAGTGTTCGTCAAAAAAAAATCTGGAGGAAGGAGCACAGAATATCCTTGACCGCCCCCTCTTCAAAAGTAGTGGTGGGGACATTAGCCCCCCTATTACTACGCCTATATATGTTGCATAAACGCCTGCGATATGTTGTACTTATATTGTCTCTGATATTTAATTTTAGCGGAATAGAAATTGATATATGAAAGTGTATTTATTAAGTCGTCCAATACATGTCGAAATAGTGTCATTCATCAGAAATAGTTGTCATAAATAAATTGCCAAAGTTTGAAGCAAGTATATTTGGCAATATTATTTTAAGAAAAATATCGCGTCCTAATGCAACAATTTGAGGAGGCGTTCAGAACTAATGTGTAAATGTGTTCGCCTTAGAGTTGCTATACTTATTAAAATATGATTATTGACAGCGAGATAGTTCAAGATTTAATCATAAGTAAACCCCAGAGCAAATTAAATTTTCTACCATTTATAAATTGTTCAAGTTAAGTTTGACTGATAATTACTAGCTAAAAATTCAATGGCATTAAAAACTACAGCCATTTTTATTCAGAAAACTATCTCGTTATAACGAGATAACTAACTCGTTATAACGAGATAATTATCTCGTTATAACGAGATAATTATCTCGTTATAACGAGATAACTAATTCGTTATAACGAGATCCTAACTCGTTATAACGAGATAACTAACTCGTTATAACGAGATAACTAACTCGTTATAACGAGATACTAACTCATTATAACGAGATAACTAACTCGTTATTACGAGATAATTATCTCGTTATAACGAGATTCTAACTCGTTATAACGAAATAACTAACTCGTTATAACGAGATAACTAACTCGTTATAACGAGATAATTATCTCGTTATAACTATCTCGTTATAACGAGTTAATTTTTTTTATTCTTGTCAAAATTGAGCCTATCCGGCTTTCGTACATACAACATAATAATAACCCATAATAATAAACCAAGGGGTGGATCCTAGGGTGTTGGAAATTCAAACCGGTTTTATTACCTGCAATGCATTTCCAGATTTATAACATACATATGTAATAGTTGCTTAATATTCAGACATCTAGTGATTAAAATTCTCATTCTGTCTTTCATAAGTTTTTCTTCAACTGAGTTTATTTTTTGGCCAGAAGAGATTTCAAGCCCTAAAACTTTCCTGAACTGTTATTTTGATATGTTAATACAAAAATAAAAATATGACAGTTGCAGCACACTGTAATATTATACACAAAGAATGTTTCGATGTGAACATTTTACTTGCCTATCATCAAACAGTTTCATGAGATGCATTGTTACTCATTATTACACTAAAGAATCATAATAAACAGAGTGAACCTCCAGAATTCAGGGACAATATGGATCCGATGAGATTGCAATGCATAAATTTATTTTAAAAAATCAGAAGAAAAACACTAATGTATTTAACTTTTTCAAAAATTCAATATAAAAGAAATCTCGTAAGTCGTTCAATTACATTAGAGACTGTCTTTTGTTAATATATTTTATTATATCGATAGTTATAACAAATGATCGACTCCCCCCCCCCCCCCCCCCCCGAGCTAAGATAGATGTAGCTCTGAACTTTAACTACTGATTGAATAATATATAAAAATTCTTTTACAAGTTCCATGGATTTTAAATCCATGTACTTATATTTTTTAATAGTTGGTGTGTTTGTCTGTGTCTCTGCGTGCTGTTTTCGCTCTCTAACACCCAGAACCTGGGAAGGGAGACCTGCGATGCCCGGAGATCTGAGGTGGATGTAGAGGTGGCTTCAGCAGGAGCCCTTATAGGCGGCATATTCAAGATCAGGGACACCTTAACTGGTGGATACACGTGTGGAACTCCACATAAAGGTATATGGATGGAGTAATTCTTGAAGCAAAATTAACTTATACATCCCTCCACTAGAGAGGGTGTATTTTCGGTTCAAGTTGATTGTCTCTTTGCAAGTTTAACGCGGGGGATGGGTCGGGTTGGGTTGGGTTGAGTAATATAAGTTAGGGGTTAATGCACTACATATATGAACCCCATAAGGAAAGAAGTTCGAGTAATAAATAATCTGATGAATTTTTAAAATTAATCTTCTTTTTAATGCAGTTGGTGAAGTTTGCAATTCATTCCTCATTATAAGCGTTTTCTTGATACATAAAAAAAAAACGAAATAGTATATCAGACGTACTAAATATGTTAAATTTTTATCTTCAGAACTGATACAAGTGTACGAGGCAGCGAAATTTGCAATCCAGCGTGTTAATGCGCAAAATATTGTCCCGGGTATTAGACTTGGTGAGTATTGTTTTGAACTCATGTAAAAATTATTAATAAGAAACATTGCTCTTAATTTGTTTTTTTTTTAATTTTAGGAATGAAGGCCTATGATGATTGCGGGAGCCCGTTTATGGCCGTACGAGCTGCACAGAAATTTTATCCGCAATTTTCCAACACCCAGCTGTCTTGTAGTGATGGTTCAAAGCTTCATTTAGGTAATCCTTAAAAAAATTCTGAAACAAACAAATCTCTGGAGTAAGCAAACGGCCAGAAGATTCACTTTACTGATGTACTTGTATTTGTCTGCAACGTTTGTTTACAACGTAGAATAACATTTTAAGAAGGAAAATTCAAGCAGTATTTAAGCCACTACAAAAATAAAACATTTATTCTATTTTATTTTTATATTGAACAAATTGTAAATGTATGCTAGAGGAATAATTCATTTACATATAAAAATAAGTCAACGGTGCTTGAGTGTGTATATGGGGGTATCTTATTTTGGAGATGAAAAAAAAAATGAATAAACTTCCTATGAAATAGTTGTCACATAATATATATATATATATATATATATATATATATATATATATATATATATATATATATATATATATATATATATGTATAATATGTATAATATGCAACGATTTTAAAATTAAAGTTTTATTTGTGTATAGGAATCTTAGGTCCCCTGAACAGCAATACAGAATCTGTGGCTCAGATGACGTCAGATATACCAGCATCCCAGATTTCTCCGAGAATCATTCACCCTGATCTCAGTGATAAATCCATGTATCCATACTTCCTGAGGACTGGGCGCAACTGGTTTTCATTTGCCAGGGTAAATGAAGCTAAAAAGATTAATGTTAAAATAAATTACATAAACCAATATATAAATAGAATAACTCAGCTCACTCTCTAACTACTTTTTGTTAGGTGCTGACACAAGTCTTGAAGCAAATGAATTGGACACGCGTCACAGTTGTTAATGTAGACACGGACATGGGTGAACTAGGCTACAAGGAATTTTCGCGACAGGCTTTAAATGAAAACATCTGTATAGCTGGCTTAAAAACAGTTTCTATCGTCGCCACACAAGCCGACTACGAGACCCAACTCAGTGACCTTGGCAACGATGGGGTCAATGTCGCAGTATTTTTGGGACCAGGGGCACATGCCATCAAACTCCTTAAGTCAAACGTCGGGAAGCGCGTCCAGTGGGTAATGGCAGATATGCTTAGAATGGTCTCTACAGATCCACTGAGTGTGCATGCTCCAAACAGCAAAGGTGTAATTTTCGCCCTACCAAAAGTTCGCCAAATCACAGAATTTGAAAATTACTTTGTTACCCTGTCAGAGACGAGCCCTCCTGGAGACAACCCTTGGTTTCAAGACTGGTACATGACACTGTATGACTGCAGGCTTCCTGGTTTGTAGATAGTTTTTCTTTTTCTTTTCAGTACTGCAGGGAAAAATCTTAGAAATAGAAAAGTTTCGGGTGTAAAATATAACATTAAGATTTTTATTTTCAGGTATTAACTATGCCCCATTTGCTACTAAACTTTTCTGCCCACAAACTGTCACGAAGAGATCCATATATAAACAGTTACCTTACGTGCAGTCTGCAATAGAGGGAGTTTATGCCTATGCAAAAGCATTCAGGACAGCCCACAGGACCCGATGTGGGGACAGCTTTAATGGAGTCTGTGACAGTTTGAGAGCCATGTCTACCGCAGATTTCAACACCATTCTAAAGAATATAGACTTCACTGTAAGTTCAAATAAGTTTAAATTCAATAAAGAATTAGTGTAGAATTTCATTCCGAAGAAACGACCGTCTTACCAATAAATAAAAACCATGTAGTTGTGTTACAAATTTATAAAACTATCAAAATTTCATTACACACTTCATGTTGACAAGAGTGAGTAAATTTTCTGACTGTTGCAGTTCTCAAACACTGACGGAATACCAAGTATGGCTGGAAGGAGGGTCAAGTTTGATGCAAATGGTGACATTATAAATCAAGATTTCACGATCTATAACTACAACGACAGAACTACAGCTCCAAATTTTGCATTTGAAGAGGTAATGTTACAGTTGCTGTATTTTAAATGGCATCTGTAGACCCCTTTTATGAAGGAAAATGATTTTTTTCTGGTAATAAAATCAGTTTAAATAATTAATTGCAGGTTGGAAGTTACGAAAATAACGTTCTAGCATTAGACAAAACGAAAGTCCGAATGTACGATGGTTCTGGTATAACAAGGGACATCACTTCCTCTTGTCCAGCTGAAGGTTGTAGTTACTGCATTGTAGAACCCAATCCTTTTAATTTCTATTACAACCCTGGAGATATCAATATAGGCGTGGCTCTGTCTGCGCAAAATTCGGGATCGGAAAGATTTACATGTGGAGATGACAACGCTTATGGTATGGCACAGGCGCTTGCAATACAATATGCTGTGGAAAATCTGAATATAGACTTACCAAGGATACTCAATGGTGTACGCTTAGGAACAGTCATGCTTGATGCCTGCAACAGTTCTGATGTAGCTTCACTCTTCTTCAATAATTTACTCGGAAGTCGCAGTACACTGAAAGATAAGCATGGACGGTTTGTGGATCCTAATTCTGTTAAGGCTCTCATTGAGGGATTTAATAATGATGGGGCCATGTCATTCTCAAAAGCTACTCAAATGTATGGACTGCCACAGATTGGAACCGTAGCATCTAGTTCATTACTGGGAGATAAAGTAATGTACCCACTATTTAGCCGAACGGTAGAAAGTAATTATGTCCAGTCTGTGGCTATGGCAAATTTCTTTGCAAAGAAAGGTTGGTATTACATTCAGGCAGTCCATTGCCCTTCCATGCGTCATGATGTTGAAGTGTTAAAGAGAATGACAGCTGACTTTCAAATATGCATGGCTGCTCAATACGAAATGGGTACAGATGGCACTGCAGCTCAGATTTTGGATAAAGTCAGGTCAAATACAAATGCAAGAGTCGTGGTTATGTTTTTGGAGAAGAAAAATATCAGACAGATGCTTCAGGCAATTAAAGACGCTTCATGGCAGCAGCAATTTGTCATTGTTGGGGGTGAGTCATGGGGCAGCGATAATCTGAACATAATGGGTTTTGAGAATGTTGCTAATGGAGTAGTATCGTTCCAGCCTCAAATAGGCCAGACTTCGAACTTCCAAAACTGGTTAAATCAAAAACAGCCTAGAACAGCAATGGATATGCCTTGGTTCAGAGAACTGTACGAAAATGCTTTCCAATGTTACTTGGATGCTTCATCAAAAGGTATGTTCACAAATGAATGTCCTAATCCAGGTTCTGGAATGTCTAATTCTCCCATTTACGAGTTCTGGTACCAGATGACGACATCAATCAATGCTGTTTACGTCACTGCCAAGGCTCTTGACGAAACTTTGAAGCATTACTGTGGGCAGGGGTATTCGGGGGTATGTGTTAAGTATCGTGCGGCGAAGGACTCCAATGCAGTTCTACTCCAAAATATCAGAAACGCATCATTTAGTATAGGTTCGTCATACCAGTTTGACATGCACAACGGAGAGCCCCTTTCAGGCATTGAAATTATGAACTACAGACAAGGACAAAAGTATACTTCCGTAAGTATAAGGGTTTAAACAATAAATATGCTGATAGAAATTATTGATATGTCATCACTTCTTGTATGAGTATCAGTGTATTACTAGTAATGTTTAGTTTTCTGTGAATTCATATTTGCATGCCTAAAATATTTCATTTTTCTCTTCAGGTTGGATTATACAACACCAAATCAGGAGTTCTCACAATTTCGGACAATACACTTATTTATCCAAGTACTATTCAGCCTGCTACATTTTACTCAATATGTCCGGGTATTTGTGGAGATTGTTCCTATTTGACCAAAACGAAATACACCTACGAGCACGGTGACGTCATAATTGGAGGTTTATTTGGATTACACAATACACATCAACTCTACCCCACTTTATGTGGTGATATAAGATTGAGTTACGGTGTTCAGTTTGGACTCGCCATGTTCTATGCCATTGATGCAGTTAACAATAAGCAGGCTCCCGTCTCTTTGAATGGCATAAAACTAGGAGGTCTAACTCTTGACCATTGCGGTATTCCTAATCGACCTGGCGAACTTATTTCTTATGTTTACACAAACACTGGACTCCTATCATCGGAGGATAGAATGAAACTAGATACATCGAGTATCATTGGATGGATAACTGACAACACAGCTGCTGTTGATAGTGCAGCAATGGTGACCGAGAAGTTAGACATCCCACTTGTCAGTCCACTAGCTTCTAGTGCAGCTTTTCAGGACAAAGAGAAATATCCAAACTTCTTCAGAACGATACAAGGCGATGTAACAATATCAGTTGCCATTTCAAAACTAGCAAAATCATTGTCTTATAACTATGTGAATGTAATATATTCTGCAGACTCCTTTGGAAAAGGTGGAATGGAAACATTCGAAGCGGTAGCCACGCAAGAGGAGATATGTGTTCTTCAAAAATACATGGTGACCCCATCTATGAATGCTTCTCAAATTTTAAAATTAATATCGCTTAGCACAAGCCAGGTTGTGGTTTTGTGGACAAATGGTGCCGATACAACCGCTCTTCTGAGGGCAAAAAACATCAGCAGTGGGGCGTATCAAGATATGGTGCTTATCTCCTCAATGCCATATATGGCTTTGGCACAATCTTTCGGTAATAGTGCTTCAAAATCATTCTTCTTTAACATCAAAACAAGAAATGACCCAAAGTATCTCCAGTTCTTAGCTGCGTTTCCAAGTGATGTTTTTCTGGCGAATGCATTCTTGTATGAGTATTACACTAAGCTATTTGGCTGCAATCTACCTGGAAGCAGCACGTAAGTAAATGTTGAGCAAGAAGAGTATATACTAGTAGGTTATTTTGCAGAAAAATGAAAATTACAATAGTATCATTGTTAAACTAATGAATAATTTTTATTGTATAAAAAGTATAAAAATATAATAATAATCTGTATAATGATAATTCTTATCTTTCTACTATAGCTATAGCACCCATTGCTCTCAACCGTACGCGCCCATCACTTCCGCCCGTGGATTTGCACAAGACAATTACGTGATTCCCACAATAAACGCTGTTTACTCACTTGTCGGAGCTATGGATGCTGTGCTTAAAGACAAATGTGGGCAAAACTATCAAGGGATATGTGCTGCTTTCTCCTCTACCCCTAATATTAATGACAAAATAATGGACAAAATGGAAAAATTAACGTTTAGGGATCCTCTTGGAAACAATTTCGAGTATATTGATCGTGAGGGCAACATGGGAATGGAAGTTATATACCTATACAATAATGATCTAACTACGGTATGTTGTCAAATGAAAAGTTTTCAGAATAAGAAATCTATATATTTCAGGTATTTATTATTTGAAAAGCAAAAGACTTCAAAAACAATATTGCTGTACACTGTATTTTGAAGGTTGGAGAGTTTGCCGGAGCGTCCTTGAATTTGAAAGTTGGTACCTACATTCCACCAGCTGTTTCCTCCTCTTGTCCGCCCCCATGTCAACAGTGTATTCAGAAAAATATTGAATTCACCTACATCCCTGGCGACATTCTTCTTGGTGGTATGTCACATATCTAATAAAATCCGTTATCATTAATGTTAATTGTCTTTTACGGTGAATACGGAGGGCTGATGCATGTTTTATCAGGATATTTTTTATTATAAATATAGGCTTGTTTGATGTCCACGAGAACAGTTTGATTCCTTTCTCTTGTGGTGATTTGAATATACAAGGTGGATTCCAGCTCTTGGAGGCCTTCAATTACGCCCTCGAGAAAGTGAATGACAAGACTGGTCAATTCCAGAATGTTCTAAGGAATGTTAAACTTGGTGGTATTGGTTTGGATGCCTGTCAGAGTTCTATTCGAATGGGATATCTCGTGTCTGACATCCACAATGGTATAATTAAGCTAACAAGAAATGGACAGACGGTGAATCCTGACGATATCAGTTTATACATTGGTGGTGGATCCAGTGACAGTTCACTTTACTTGGCGCGTCTTTTAAAAACACTGAAGTTACCCCAAATCAGTTACATGTCAAGCAGTGATTCTCTTTCAAATCAAGACAGGTATCCGTATTTCATGAGGACGATTCCTGCCGATGACAAGCAATCACTCGCAATGATAAAATTCCTAGACGCTCAGAATATTCGGTATGTTCAAATCGTTCATACACCAAATGAATATGGAAAAATGGGAGCTGAGAAATTTAAAAATCTTGCTGCTCAGAATAAAATTTGTGTCGCTCAGACCATTGAGTTCCCTGATAATTCGTCTGTGACACAGGAAAGTGCTGATAAAGTTGTTCGCGCTATGCTAGAGAAACCTGTTGCCAATACAATAGTTGTATTTGCTAATGCCAAATACATTCATGAAATGCTGAAAGCAATGACGAGAAACGCCGGGGCTATTGGCAAGTTTAGATTCATTGGGTCAGAAACGTGGGGAAATAATTATGATGCTATTTCAGGTGTTGAGTATTTGGCTAAGGGATCAATCACTTTGAATCTGGAGTCATCCGACATAAGAGATTTTGATTCTCATATAGGGCAAAAATCTCCTGGAAATTACCCTGAAAACCCCTGGTTTCCTGAATTCTATGAAGAAATGGTGAATTGCTACCTAACTGTTCCAACCTCAAAACACAAAACTCAATGTCTTTCGCAGACGATGAACATTGCTGCTGAGCGTGACTACATACAAGACCCTGGTATTCTGCATGTGATTAACGCTGTTTTTGCTGCTGCATATGGACTCGATGACGTACTGAAGTCTCTTTGTGGGGTGAATTACACGACGGTATGTGAACAGTTCAAAAATAACCAAAACCGTCACAATTTATTGGTGCAGAGTGTACTAAGGTCCACCTTCGTCGATCCTTCCGGAGCTACTTTCAGTTTCCGAACAGACCGAAGAGATGGAAACAAAGGTTACATGCTGTACGATATCAAAGAAAGAATGACCATGAATGAGCTTGGTTACACTTATGAAAAGGTAACAACGAAATCCGTACTATTTAAATATTTGATTATTCATGGAATATATATAAGAGAATGATGGATTCTTATTTTACAAATTATTGGCAATTTTCAATGTGCAATTTTCACTTTTTCAGATCGGCGAGTTCTCAAGCCAGGACGTCTTGACAGTTGAAAATACATACACATCTAATTGGGACGGAAGTTGTGAAAGACAAGGGTCCTGCTCTGAATGTCCAACTGTTCGAAACTTGTTGCAGAGATACATGCTTCAGCCTGCCAGAGACCAGTCCACAAATGGAGCAACCCTTTTGGCTATTCTGCCAATTCACAAACGGGGAACTGATCGTTATTTATGCGGACATCTTGACATTGGTGTACTTTACAATGCCCTTGCATTTATTTACACATTAGATACCTACTTTCCAACAACTAAATACAAACTGCGTGGGCTAATTGTCGATAGTTGTTCAAACAATTTGAGAGTAGACCAGGATCTTTACAGTCTGTTTTCACGTGGACGGTTGTGTAATACAGAGTTCTCATTTGATGGGGAAATAAGTAATAAGACTCTTGCAGGTCTTATAACTAGTACCTCCGATCATGTTATGGCAGCAAACCGCGTCTTAGCCCCTCTTAAAGTACCTATTCTTAGCAATAGCGCAACTTCTACTGCACTCAGTGATAAAGAGAAATATCCCTTTTTTGCTAGAACCGTCCCACCAGACAACTTACAAATGGATGTCATCGTTAGAATTCTAAAAAATAAAAACTGGAATTCAGCTTCCGTTATCTATAGCAGTGATACTTATGGAAGAACTCTATTCGAAGATTTCTTAACTAGAGCAAGAAACATGCAAACATGTGCTGGTGCTCATATTGCTGTTCCCTATCCAGCGACATTAGACCAAGCAAAGGATGCAATTAGATATATCGAAAGTAACTCAAAGTCTAAGGTAATTGTTCTCATATCAAGTGACCCAAAGATTGTTCTACAAGCTGCTAAAGAACTAAACGTACTGGACAAGTATTTATGGATTGGAACTGACACATGGGGTTCTAGCTTGGAAGTCGTTAGTGGAATGGAGGGTGACCTTTTGGGATCAATCACGGTAGAGCCAAGATCAACTCCTGTTGAAAAGTTTGCTAGATATGTCAGTGAGTTGAAGTACAATGACCGTAAAGGGATTCCTAATGACTGGTTCGAAGAATTTTACCAGATGTTCCACAAATGTAACATTCAATCCGCGAAAGTTAACTTTCCACAGTACAGTGCTTGTACAGGAAGTGAAACCATAGATGACTGGACCAAAATAGATTTTCAGCCCTATGTCCTTAATACCATTGCAGCCACATATGCTTATGCTAAAGCCATCGATGCAGTGTCCAACGGTAGATGTATTTCCACAGCTTCCTTTGAAGAATGTTTCAGAGTAGACGAATCTTGGAATGAACTCTTTAGCAGTATTCTGAATGTGGAATGGAATGTCCAGAGTAGTTTAGACCTCAGTCGATCTTTCATCTTGAAATTTAATAGCGATCGTTTCTGGGACATCGGTTATAATATTAAAACATTATCAAGTTCTACGGAATACCAAGATGTGAGTAAAACAATTTTTCAGCATTGCAAGAACTACACATATCAAATCTGTCAGTAATCTGAATTACCAAATTGAAATCTTATGATTTTTTTCTTCACAGGCTCATGGCAAACTAGTTTTAATGTCCTTGTTTGTTTTTCTTTTCAGATGGGTAGCTTGATCAGCGCTAGCTTCCAGTTCTCATCAAACTATGACAATAATAAGGGAAATAACTGGTCGCCATGTCGAAGCACTGCAGTTTGTGACTGTTCAGCCCCTGTAGTGAGTGCCCAGACAAGCAACGATACCATAAGGCGTGTCAAAGCAGCGGAACCTAGGAACTATCTGTTCTACAACGTTATGAACACTACAATTAACAATCAATTTGTGCCCATCTATGATTTAACCTACAAGTGGCCAATTTGGGCAATAGCTGTAGCAGTTCCTACTTGCGTCGGATTGTTTATCACGTTTTTCCTCTTTTTGTACCTTCTAATATTCTACGAAATCAGGGGAGGCACAACCATACTAGGATTTTTGATGATGTTTGGAATATTGGGAATTTATGCCATCAATTTCGCGTTCTTCCTTCCAGCTGCAACAGACACATGTGGTGCTAGACAGTTTTGCATGGGAGTGGTATATGCAATCGTTTTTGCTGCTCTTCTTGTCAAAGCAGTTGACAACTGGCGATTCGGCGAGAATGTAGACTACTTCAACCAACAGCAAATGGATGAAAAATACAAAGGGATCACGGGGAAAGGAGTACTACTCTTAATTGCTTTGGGAATAGTCTGCGTGCAGTTAATTATACCCATTCAATGGCTAGTCCATCGTCCTCCTTCCGCAAGTTTGATGGCTGATGCAACAGAGATACATGACTGGATGATGTGCGATCCACATGACATGTATGACAAAGCGTTGGTGATGTCAATGATTTTTGTCATGTTTTTAGTCTTGCTTACTGCAATATTTTCCGCCATGGCATGGGACAGTGATAATAACAACTACGAATCACGTTGGATTCTGGTCTCCAGTGTGTGTACAGCCGGCTGCTTTATGGTGTGGATGATCGTCATAACGAACGCGTCACCGCCATATCGTGATGCGGCGGTGGCACTGGGTAACTTCTTTAACGCTACCGCCATTTTAATTTTCACAATCATCCGAAAAGTGGTGATCATGTTGTGGCCACGTGATCCGGAGGAAATGGAGGAGGAAAAACCTGGATCAATTATTGACGAGAGGGGTATGACTTTACAATAGTTACATAAATTGTGTCCATGTATCTGGGTTATGGATTTAAGCTAAATGTTGGAATTTTTTGTAATGTTCTTCTGCTCTTATTTTTTTCAGCAAACGATGTGTATTCCACAGTTTACTCAAATCCAGGATATGACAACGATGACGCAGTCTTCCAACCGTCTTCACCAAGGCAGAGTGAACTTGACAACGGAGACGTGGGATTTTAAATAGAAAATAGACGAAGTGAGTAGGCAAATGGTAAGAATTTATAAAAAAAAATATAAAATATATTTATACAAGCAAACCAATGGCATACTTCTATGTAAATAACATTGTAATAATTACTCTTTGCAGAAAAAAATATTTAATAAACAGTGCTATTGGATCCTCCGATCCTGTGGAGCCGGATAAAGCTGTGAAATGTCTCTTTTGTACCATATCCATGTACGAAGGGTAGACGAAAGCCATATGTTCCACAAAAGCCAATACCCTCGTATGATAAGGATACATTAAATTAATGTCTTCAGGATACCTACATGTAACGGCTTTTCAGAAGGTTCACTCGTGTGTAATTTTTTTTCTCTTCGTAATCAATTACTTTTCAATGGTAAATGAAAAATGATATTGACAATTCCAAAGTAATTGCTGCTGAGATTCTTTTTCCAATGATTTTTTTTACTGTTGTATCTTGCCATGATACTAGATGTATTTGTCAAATTAAGCAATCTCAGTCTTTGACCAGAATGTCATGAGAGTTTCTTATAGAAAGATGCTGATTTCTGTGAATGAATGTTTTTCAAATGCGCGTGTTTGTTAGTGGGTGAATAATTGTTGAGAATTTCATATAAGATATTTGTACATTTAAAGGCTTCACTTAGTTCAGACGTGATGTGCGTCTGTAGTACGGTGTTTATATAATTTTTGTACTATTACGTATATATATGATTGTGATATATTTTTTATACAATAAAATTTTTTTGTATATATTTGTCTTTATCATGGTAAATGACTGAAGATAAAAAATCTTATAGAACAGAAACATTATATATAAATTATTCTACTGACATCGCTAATGTTCATTTATTTTATTGAATGACTCATTGATTGATAATTAGTTTTTAAAGTTAACAGTTAACCATTTTAGTGGAATATGAGTTTATTGGAGCCTTAGAAAATGATTTTTGAATATGAGTGGGTCAAGTCTCCACTCTTCGTTAACGTTTATTTGGTGGAAAAGTAAATGTAAAATCTATTTGATGTTTCAGAAATATGGAGTCTAAACCCATTCGAACATTTCTGAAAAAATATACTTTTCAAAAACTCGTTTATTTTAAATCACACTGACATATGAATGACAACAAAACTTCGTAGCATAGTGGTTAATTAACATGTTCAGTCTTACGCCTAACCGTGAGCTTTGGAGAGAGTTCGAATTATGTATGTTTTTTTTTCTTTTCCAATCCTTTAAAACAGAAATGAAAAATTATTTATCAATCAGTAATTCAATAAAATAAAGGAAGCAAATAGTGAAACATGGTATTGACAATTGATAATACATTCATTTTCCCCATCATTTAAACGTCAATGAAGAATGTAGACTTGACCAATTCATAATCAAAAATCATTTTTATGTCCCCAGTTAACCGATTTTCTAATAGATATGCTTTACTGTCAACTTATAAAAGTCATTAATCAATTAATCTGTCAGTTAAATGGATTAATCAAATGTGTTGAAGATGAGAGATTTTGAAAAATATAATCAATATTTTCCGTGAACTTTGAAAATTTTGAGAAATATATTGTTTGTCCCCGCCTTGTACGCCCTATTTCTTTCATGTATGAGGGCCGTCACAAAATTCTGTACACTGGTTTCGTATCTTTTGCAGAATTTTACGTTTCTTCGTACAAAATTCCTCGTACCTAAAATGATGTTGAAGATTGATCAAGCTCTTTATATATGAAATGAGCGTAATATCAAAATAATACAATATTTAATATACACATGTACAATGTGACAAAAGTTTTAGAGCATTCTTTAATTTTTTTGTTTTTGTTTTCTAAAAATTTCAAACTCTGTATGAAATAATGCATAAGCCATGCCATATTTACACTTGTTTGAAGTATATAGGATAGGGAAGGTACAAAAAAGGTAGAAGAATTAACGTCTTTGGAGGAATATCTGCCAAACTTCGGAAAATTGAAATGAAATTTTGAAATTTAAGAATATTTGCTCGCTAATTCCATCAAAACAAAACCGATCCCGAACAAAATCAATACAAAATAAAGTATTATTAAACTTTTGACTCTCTGATGCAGTTTCCACTGCATGAGAAATCAAATCAGTTTATAAGTTCAGTTACTTAGTAATCCATACCACAACCAGACAGCTGCTTAGTATTCTTGTAAAGTTGTTATGTTTCCACTTTTTGTTAAATTCCAGTCGAAGTCAGTCAAAGTGATGCATATTTGAAAATTAGCATTTTTTAAAAATACATCTACAGGCATGCTTATGAAGCTATCTTAGGACTAAGACATATCTTAAGACGAACGTACGACATATCTTAGTCTTAATTTTAAGACAAACTCGAAGTTATCTCAAGAAATACCAGGAAAACAACAAAAATTATTTGTTTGCGTAATTAAATCCAATATTTGTTGTAAATTATTAAGTTCTTGTATGAACTAAATCAATTTATAAACACTGTACTGTGTAAATGTATGCATGTGCATGTACAAATGGAAATGGAGAAAATAGATAATAAAAATGCATTAATTATTTCATGTTTTAAAACATTTATGCATTTAAAGTTAAAACGCCCTGAAGAAGAACAGATTTGAAATCGATAAAAATATAGCAATAATTATTTTTGTGTAGATGGGGAAAATGGGGGGGGGGGTAGGTTCGCAAATTCATTGTAACTTTTTAAAATGTGATATATTACACGTACTTGAAAATTTTAGATATAAATTTATAAATATATTTGTACAAATTAAAAAAAAATGTTACGAATATTTTTTATTAAAAAATTAAAAATGTATATGCGAATTTTCTTGGCATTTTAATTATTTATTCATACTGTGCATTCATTAAAAGCAGTTTTTCACAACTCTAAAGTGTCTAACTTAAACCAAAACAATTTTCTCTGAAAAATACGAAATAAAATAAGATATCAAACATCGGTCTTAAAAAAAAATCTTTAAAATGATTCAATATCGGTTTTTCAATGATGAAATTTTATTTCAAAAGATGATATTTTAAAAATTCATTAAATTAACTTTTGGTGCAGTGCATGTATTCCTCCTTAAATGAAATATTGAATTTTGATTTGAAAATTAATCATGAATATGTTAAAATGGGCTTGAATAAATGTTGATGAAATAAAACGAAAATAGCAGTAGGAAAATATAATTACATATACAAACATTTATCCCGATAAAAAATGTGACATTAATGCAAAATTTTCTGTGGAAGGAGTAAGTAAATTTTCAGTTAGATGTATATTAGTCACAAATAAACAAAGTATGCCGAAGAAGTACCAACACAGATATAGTTCATTCTTCCGATGTCCCCGGATTCCCGATCTTTCACTCACTTGGTCCACACTAATAATTTTGTTTATACATTTATATATTTACTTTTAATCAACGAGTATTGAACTTTGAGCATGAATTTTGCGCTATGCGTCGTTAGCTGGGCTTTTACACAATAACAACGAAAATTCCTTACTCAGAATTCCGATTGTTGCGATTGTCATTTCTGTAGATAATTAGGGAACAAAATACGTCCTTAAAGTCACAGATCCAGAAAATCTTAATTTTTTTTTTTTTTTTTTTGAAATTGAATTAATTGAAAATTACTCAGAATGCATAAATACAGCAATATTGTAAAGCATGAAAGATGTAAATCTTTACACTGCTTTCCCATACTACAATTCATGATATTTACATGTATATCAATTGGCGAAGAAGTGGAAGTGAGGGTGGGTTTGATGTTGTCTATCCAAATATCTCCTTGTAACTGAACTGCTCCTCTAGTATATGAATGAAATTGAGATCAACAGTATTTTGTACAACAAACGACCAATGGCTTTATAACTTGCTTGAGGCTGTAAACAAACGTTCGAATAGTATTCACCAGATATTTTACTCATGACTATAAAGAACAATTGGTTCAAGGTTTTCAAATCCAATGGACGGAGTTTATAGAGATTAAGAAAGACAAAGCACGTTTTAGAAAGGTAAGAATCTAAGCCTGCTTTTATTAAATACTTATATCAAACATATGCTATTTAAAAAAAATCCCTTATTATTTACTCAATATTTGTTCCCGCTGTTAAACCTACTTTTGCATGTTTTAATTTACTGTGTTCTTATAGACCTGATTCATTGAATATCAAACAAAATGTGCAACGTTAATTATTTTAATTAAATTAGATGATATATTCCAACTGCTTGGCTGTTTATTACATGACTACACGACTATTCTTTATCAGTGTTTATGTTACTCGATCAGAAAAAAAAGACAAATTATTCAAGTAAACGATTTCATTTTCCCCTGTGTGTGCTTTGATGAAGACATTATGATTTGAAAGCCTATTGTTTTCTTATTGAAATCTAAGATGAGCTTTTCTGATTAATATTTTCTGTCTCTACAGCTGCTCTAAACTTGCAAGAACGCCGGACTAATTTTAACCAGACTTATAGAACCATATTAGTTAGAGAAGTCTTAATTCTTTTTAGAAATAAAAGTTCTCATAAATTAAAGTTTCATACCAGTCCATGTTGAATAATGATCAGTTATAATGAAATGTCAAAAATAAGGGGTTATTTAAAGATCTTCACTGGAGCTCACTAGGCGTATACATGTAACACACGGTCCATCAATGAAAACAAACATAAACGAAATATATGTACTCATATGCCTGCTGAATATAAATGGGAATGTTTGTCAAGGGAAATTCGAAATTCGATAAAAAAGTACTGTCTAGATGTAGATTTGAGAAAAATAAAGTGGGATTACATCCATTAACAGTAAATAAATCTCAAGTCCGTAGAACGCGGGGGGGGGGGGGGGGGCAGTGCCTATACATTTTTTTGTTGTTGCTGTGAGGTCCGGCACTGACAAATTCCAGCATATGGACTGTTAATAAGTTTTCTTTTGCTTGTAAGGTTATTCTGGGAAGTTGACTCCCTCACTTTTTGGTAAGATTTTTTGGGAAGTTGCCCCCCCCCCCCCCCCACACTTTTGAAACCGTTGCTACGGGCCTGAATCTGTTCCAAATTGAAGTATTTGATACAATAGTACAAGAGCCAGATTTACCATGGTTTTATTTTGATTAACAAAGTATTAAACTTCTCAACATTGATTTTCATCATGAGCTACAGCATTAGATTCAAATGAAAAATAGTATGAGGTATGAAGCGCTGCTTACTTTTTTTATGTCAGACCATGATATGAAGAAATTTTAACACAGAGAATAGGAAGAGTAATAATTTATTACCACAACATAAAATAAAAATATGAGATGTATATGAAAATAATATTTAGTGTCATACCTAATAATTCATATAAGAAAACATAATAAAGCGATGCTTCCTAAGTCAAAATATCACAATGTTATTTGTGCTTGTAAGAAAAGAATACATGTATGTCAACTAGCAAGAATTATAAATATTTTTTTTCAATAGAAAAAAATGTAATATTAATAAAAATTCTACATATGGTACTTGAAACATTAAAGAATTCTTAAAACGGTCCATTTAAAGGTAGGAATTATTCAATTTGTAAGGGTTTTAAAACTTGGATTTCATTTTTTTTTTTTGTCAAAACAATTTGAAAAAGTTAATATTTTTATCTATTAGGTTTGATCGAATTGACTACTGTTTTTACTTAAAATGTTTGTCAAGAAAATTGAAGCATGGATTCATCTTTCAAAAAGTGTACGATTTGCTTTCCATTGAAAAATCCTATATTATTTTTAAGTACTGCAGATTAAAATTCTATCAATATAGTTTCGGTCTCGATAAGCGTTTGATTTCCGATTGATTTCCAGCACGGGTCCTTCTAAGATTTTTTTTTATACAAATTATTTTTCTAATATATTTTAGAAATTTGTTGAATTCTACATATTTAAATAACGTGCAATGAAGAAGATATAAAAAATCCCAATATTTAAAACAAAAAATATCAGGTATACAAAAATATAGAGTTTTAATCAAAAACTTGAAATTTTGATATTTTCTGAATTTAATTTTTTTTTCTGATAATGTTTGTATAAACAGTATTTCCTAATGTGATAAAGTCTTATTTCGAAAAAAAGCAAGGACGGTGTCCCAAAGAAGCGTTAAACCAAAGAAGCGTTAAAACTCGTCAGCCTCGTATTCAAATAGGCCAAATCCTTTAATTATGTTGACATACTATTTGTTTTAAATCAACTTCAGTAAATTTGTTGTAATAAGTTTTGGTTATATTTGAAATCTGTCACTGAAGTAAAAATTGGTTTCATTTGATGTTTAGAAATAGCATTTTTGCAAATGCTCTTTAGCATCTCTTTCCTGTGAAACGATATCAATATCATTTACTGTGGAATCAGTTTAATTTGTGTGTGTGTGTGTGGGGGGGGGGGGTCAATGTTCATGGGTAATCTACATTTTACTAGTTCGTGGGGACGTACATATTGGTGTTTATACATGCATAAGATTTAATTTCCTAGGTTGATAAAATTATCGTTCCTAGGGATGTAAATTTGGCCGTCCTGCTTTTCCGCGATTTTATTTCTGCAACCTGTCTGCTTTTCCACGACTACTTTCCAGTGCTTAAACATGAAATAACTGCAATAAAATTTTATGTGAAAAAGGTCAAATTCAATACATTCGTTTTGTTCATTATCATGAAAGATACTGAAAATGTACTGTGCTAAAATCTTCGATTTTACGCATATGAGTTATTGACACAAATACCTATGATTCTTCCAAGTGTTTAACATTAATAGAAAGGTTTGACTGTATCAATTTTATCATAGTTTCTTTGCTCATCTTGCGACAAACTGTGTAATCTATATTTCTGTTCCAGATACCGACATGAATTTTCTGGTGAATATTGTCATTGCTATAACAGCAATGTGTGCCCTAACCTCATCATCAAGACATGGTCTTCGAAAAGATATCCTTACAGATTATTCAAAGGAGTTACGTCCAGACGATAATCCGATAACTGTAAACCTGAAGTTCACTGCCTTTAGATTAATTAACTATGACGATAAGGACGGAAAATTCACACTAAGCGGAATTCTGGAGCTGTCTTGGTTAGACGGGAGGATCGCTAAAAAATGGGAGTCTTCGTTAAATAATGATGATCATGATATTAACATGTATTTCCTGGATACCGAAGTCTGGACGCCGCGTATTCTTCAGATGAATCCACACAGTCGATATGAATTAGAGCAAATGTTTCAAAACTCAGTCATGTTTGACAAAAGCGGATTAGCACTGATGATGAAAATGGACATATTTACCTCTGACTGCAATGCCGATTTTTCGTTCTTCCCGTACGACACACAAACCTGTTCTATCGATGTAGCTGCATGGGGTTTCTTCAACGAAGAAATTGTCTTTACACCAAACAGGAGCAAAGTTAACATGGATCATTTTGAAATAAACAACTTTTGGAAAGTGAAAGACACAAGGATCAGTGTGAGTAGTATTAAGAAGGAGGGAACCTCACCTATTCCATTGGCTAGAATAGAGTTTATCATCAAGCGTCGCGCGGCATTTTTTGTACTTTTTCTGATTTTGCCGATCCTTTTCATGGAAATTCTCCAGCTGTTTGTGTTCATGTTGCCATGGGATTGCGGTGAACGTTCCAGTTACTCTGTGACTGTTCTTCTGGCAATAGCTGTATATCTGACCATAGTCACTCAGCAAATCCCTGAATCTTCAGGACCCACCCTTTCTATTTTAGCCATGAAGATGGTCATGGATCTGTCCATTGCCTGTATGGTGCAGATATTTGTGATCATCAGTCACGTTAACTACAATTTACGTAATCGAAGTTACAAGGAACTCTCACGCGGGTTCTTTCCGAGATTGTTGATCTGGGCTAAATACAAAGATTTGGGATGCGATTTAGAAAAGGGATTCTTTGCTTTTACGATCCTTGTAATCCTGTTTTCCAATATTATATTCTTGGCAAGGTTGAATCAGGATCCGTAACAATTAAACATTTTTTTTGTGGTTGTTTAATTTTTTTCAGGAAAAGACTACATGCTATTTGAGTAAGACATCAACAAAATCTCTTTTATTTCATTGTATATTGTAACAACATAGTTTTGATCTATAAAGCCTAAGCGTGTTAATCAGAAAACTGACTGAATGTGACTTATGTACTGTGCTTTATGCTGCTGTTGTTATCCTGTATAAATTTCATGGTTCCTATGTAGGTATGCTTTTTTGTATGGTGAAGGTATATTTTGTTTTGTTACCGTTACTTTTTTCCTACATCGGTTTTGCACCGTTTGTGCCTGTTAAAAACTTTAATTGTATTATCAATATTTAATTATAGTCACTATATATCGATATATATATTTCTTACTTTATTGTTGTTAGCAAGCTGTTAAAGAGAGAAAGAGAGAGAGAGAGAGAGAGTACCATTTTCCTGTTGTGTTTAAACTTCTTTTTGGAAGCGATTAATCAAAGCCAAATATGCATATGGAAGAAATTGGCACATGCTTTAGCTTAAGTATATAGGTCTCATAACTTGCACGAGTTGTGGAACGTTTTTCTCCCACTGAATATCTTCCAAGTTTGTGTATATCAGTACTTCGCGGATCACGGCCACCCATCAAATGCTCAACCCACATGCACTTGTTTCCGTAATAATTTTTTTAGTCCATAGTATAATAATAACACAAGGTATCTAACTCCGAATCACATGAAGTAGCCACAGGTGCTTGGGGTCAGCCCCCCCCCCCCCCCCCCGCGTTTCGTACCCCAAAGGTTCTTCGACTCTTTTATATAAATTATATAAAATAGTTTTCTATGACACATTCACGAAGTATTACAATTGAAAAATCCAGAATTTAACTTAAAACTAGCCTTTTATAAAAAAAAAAATCACTCTCTGATACTAAAAGTTCTCTCATAGTATCAAAAAAGTGTGGATTTTTATGCTCACTCGTCCATGGCACCTGACTCCACCTCTTATGTTTTAGAGGTCCGTGTTTGCTCTGCTCCTGATCTGTATTGTTTGAATGGACTTTTCAATTTGAGTTTGAATACTGTACGTCATCTCCATATTTCATACAAATTGATTTTTCCTACATAATTGTTTTTCAAAAGCTTAATATTATAGACAAGAGTAACTAATATAGGATTGACATAAAACAAAAATAACAAGAAATTACTTTCATCGTCTTTGATTTTCAACTAAAAATAAGAATTAAAATTTTGAAAACGTCATTTCTTGAAACAGGCGGATAACATTCCATGGTAATCTACAATTAGAATCTGCATTCATATGTCAACTATAGTAAGTGATATATACAAACTGAAAAACATACATGTATATATAAATTGAAAATATCAGATGCATTTAAAAATGTTTAGATTAAAAGATCCGAATAGAAGAATTATCCTTTTTTTATTTCCAGAGATTGAAACACTCTGGAGGCTTCTTTAGAAATTATGAGCTTTTTTAGACAAAAAATTGCACTGAGTGCATTGATAGATTTAAACTTTGAACTGTCCTTAAAACAATGCACAAAAATTGCTTCCCAAGATGTGTCTCCTTCAGAGCAAATGCAATCAAAATTCTACAAGTTTGAGGGCTATATACAACATTTGATTTGTGACCAAACAGTCACTTATATTAATAATTAATAATCCAGCATAATGTTTTGAAAAGGGTAAGTTTGGAAGATTTCAGACTTTGGTCTGGTACCATGGTCAGATATATAGCTATCGAGGGTAGAAGTATGCTGAACACGAAACTTTAATTTTCGCCACATGGAATAAAGAGGAAGAAAAGATTTGGAAAACTACAGCAAAATGACCTGAATGATCAGTAATACTAAATATGATAACTTGCAAATTATCTTTAACTAAATTCTAATTTTAAAAGAATTTCATTTTAAAAATTCTGTTTTTAGTAAACACGGAACACTGTTCAATAAAATAAAATTAAAAAAAGAGATTTAGAATTATGTATGTTAGTATAGTCTACTTACGTACCAAGTTATACTGAAATCTGACTAAAACTGTAGCGTTTTGAAAGAATTTCACAGAAATTCCTATTTTTAGCAATCATGGCAACACCGTTTAATGAAATCAGAAACCGAAAAACAGAATTATGTATCTTAATGTATTCTACTTGTGTACATTGAAATCGGACTAAAATTGTAGGAGAAGTAGCATTTTAAAAGAATTTATTTGAAAATTCTTTTTTTAGCAACCATGGTAAAACCTTTCAATAAAATCAAAAACCGATATACAGAATTATGTTTATCTAAGTGTAGTCTACTTGTGCACCAAGTTATATTGAAATCGGGCTAAACTGTATAGGAGGAGTAGCATTTTGAAAAATTGTTTACAGACAAACAGCTAGACAGACAGACGGACGGACGACGGACACCTTACCATCACATAAGCTCCTCTTGTCTCTGACCAGTAGAGCTAAAAAACCGGACACGCCTATGCTTTGTGACAGTCGCCACACGAAGTAAGATATGATAATAAGTTTAAGAAAACTACCATGTCGTTCGCAAGATATTTCAAGTTAAATAACCTAATATGTACGTACATGTATGTATCTGTAACGTTTAAACGTAGGCCACTTTATATTCATTTGAAAGAACCATACTGGAAAATTAAAACATTTTTTTCTGTACATGTATTCATCAATTTGCATTATATAGTTTGCATTTAAGCAAATATGGAATAGCAAATAGCTGTTTTTATGCCCCGCCATGAATATGGCCGGAGCATATAGTGTTTGTCATGTCCGTCTTCCGTCCTTCTGTCCTTTCGTCTGTCCGTCCGTCACACTTTGCGTTTACCTCTGTTCAAAGAAACAATCCAAGATGTTTTTATCAAACTTCATATGCTGATAGATATTGATGAGAGCTATGCAACTGCATCAACATTTTTTGACCTTGACCTTTCCTTTGACCTTGACCTCACTTTTCTTAAATTAGTGTTTAGCTCAGTTTTAAAGATACCATTCAAGATAGTGTAATCAAACTTCATATGTTGATACATACTGATGTACGCTATTCAATTGCATCAACATTTTTTGACCTTGACCTTTCTTTTGACCTTGACCTCACTTTTCTTAAATTAGTGTTTAGCTCAGTTTTAATGAAACCATTCAAGATATTTTAAACAAACTTCATATGCTGATACATACTGATGAGAGCTATTCAACTGCATCAATATTTTTTACCTTGACCTTTCCTTTGACCTTGACCTCACTTTTCTTGAATAAGTATTTAGCTCAGTTTTAAAGATACCATTCAAGATAGTGTTATAAAACTTCATATGCTGATACATACTGGTGAGAGCTATTCAACTGCATCAACATTTTTTGACCTTGACCTTTCCTTTGACCTTGACCTCACTTTTCTTAAATTAGTGTCAAACTTCATTTGCTGATACATACTGATGTAACCTTTTCAACTGCATCAACAATTTTTGACCTTGACCTTTCCTTTAACCTTGACCTCACTTTTCTTAAATTAGTGTCAAACTTCATATGATACATACTGGCGTAAGCTATTTAACTGCATCAATATTTTTCACCTTGACCTTTCCTTTGACCTTTACCTCACTTTTCTCAATTTGTGTTTAACTCAGTTTTAAAGAAACCATTCATAATATTTTTATCAAACTTCATATGCTAATACATACTGATGTAACCTTTTCAACTGCATCAACATTTTTTGACCTTGACCTTTCCTTTGACCTTAACTTCATTTTTATCAATAGATTACCATAGTTTGTTGATTTCTTTGTGAAGTTCTAAGAATCCAGGTTAAGACCTAACAAGGCAGCTTTGATTTTATCGTCTAGATTTCTGGGATTCTTTGCTGTTGTTGCGATTATATATGCGTCTATGCGTGTTTGCTGGTGCATGATCACAAATCCGTTGACAGGTTCATCATTAATGTACAAAATCGCCTGTGTTCCTAGTTTTTCTGAAAAAAGTTATTAATACACATTATAAATAAATATAAACAGTGACGTCTTTTGTTATTTATTATGAAGATATGATTTAAAAGTACTAAAGCTTTAAATGACTTTTTTACTGTTCCTAATCTCCATCATTTCATTTATGATGTACTTCTAATGGGCTTATGCCCAAAAGTGTTTTCTAAGCAAAAGCAAAATGTCTATTTTCTATTTTCTCTGATAAAGGGAGAATTTTTTTTGGTAGATTTTTATCTTCTTGTCAGGTGACATTGTTGACAAAAATATTTTCCTACACTACCCACTACCTTTCTCCAAGTCATTCCAATGATCTTTCTAATTAAATCTCTTTTTTCGAAAATTATGCTTGGAATAACTCAGACATATTATCATAAACTCTCATTGAAAACAAAGACCCCTTGTGGACATCCTAGTTACTTCGAACTTCACGGCTTCGGTTGGAAGCAAATCTGAATCCAAAGTCTCTAACTTCAGCGATGTACTACGGCAATCTTCAAAGTCTCTAAAATGATGACTATAAAAAAACTTCGTTTTTGTTACAAGTTACAAGTAAAAAAAAAAAATTTTCTAGACATGTTTTCATGTATCATCGATTAGAATACTGAGTATGCTAAGAAAAATCCAAGCAGATTTATTAATTGGAAAGAATTTACTCAGAATCTTGAAAATATTAATAGACAAAATGCAAGGGGCGATAAAAACTTCGCAAACTAATTGAAAAACTTTCATAAAAGAAATCAAATTGGGTGTCAGTATTTATCCTTTTTTTAAGTAAGCCCCTCCGGTTTTAATACACTTTTGCCACCGCTCTGCTCATGCACGAATCAAGTGCCCCAGGCAATCACGTGACCTGCACGGAAGTGTACTGTTCACAGCAACCTAAAGATTTTCCTGGGTCTTAAATTTCTTACCATGCAGGTTATTTTTTTTTTTACAAGAAGAATGATCCATTTGTCACGAACTGCCAAATCTCGGCAATAGGAAGGGTGAATTAAAAGATATTCTTTCCCAGGATGAGCATGGTGTCTATGATAAACCGACTTTTTTGACTTGCGTCGTGTATCCAATTTGGATCACGTATGGGCGCTTTCTCTTTTTCATATCTGATCTGTTAACAATCTAAAGTAACCGAAATTTTAGGGGATTGAAAATTATTTCATTCTTAAGATATTCAACTATTTTTATACCCGCACTTTGACATAAACATGGAACAAAATATTACGTGACATATGCTATTTATGGAACATGTTTAGGACTATACGTATGCCAAATTTCATTCTGATCTGAATTGTGGTTATGTAAATACAGAGATAGATCGTGAACTTTTTGACCACCACTTTGATCAATGGTCCATTCAACCACTTTTTG